TCTCCAAAATTCTGTTCCGTAATTGTTAAGGCATCAGTGTGCAGCATGTCCAGACTCTGTTAGCATTCCATAGAAATGCCGAGGTGCTTTTAAATATCCCTTCTCTAATTTTCGTAAGGATTGCAGTCAGAGAAATTGTTGGTTAGACTATCCAGAATTTCTATTTTCATGCAGTAAGTTTCCTCTAAGATTGAGTGCTGGGAAAACATTTGTCATGTCTGCCGATGAGCATGAATACTTGATTCAGATACCGAGAATTACATTTCCTTATGGCCTTAGTTGAGAAAAATGGAGTTTTAAGTCTAATGCACAGAGTAACTTTAGTGCCAGGAGTCCAGTATGTATTTTTTTTCCTCCTCTGAACAATTAATTTTGATAGGTTAAGTCTTTGTTTAGTTGCGTGTGTGCGTGTGTGTGTGTGTGTGTGTGTTTGTGTGTGTGTGTAAAGTGTCCTCCATCTTGTGTGGATATAGGCAAGGCGTAAATCAAATACATAAATATTTTTATCAGTGGATTACCAGGACTCTGGAAGACAGGGTATTCAGTGCTGGAATTATCACTTGAGCAGCAGTTACCATTTGGAAAGAAGAGCTTCTCCAGCTCTTGGAGCTTCGATGGGTATAGTCAACATGATTTCCAATTAGATTAACAGCTGTGAGGCTCTCCTTTCCATTCCAACACACAAAAGATTGCTGGCTTTGATTTTTAAGGATGTGTCGCTACAGCCCTGATCATGGTTATTAGAGCTGTAAACTGGTTGAGGCTGTTGGAGGTGGGACACACACCCACATTTTCTGCACAGAGTAGAAATTAGGCAAATTACATACAGACCAACTATGTGGTTTTAGAATTTGGAAATCACTGAGTCCCACCTGCATGATGTTGGTCAGATCCAAGCTCTTTATTCATCTCTCTGCGTCATCCTCGATAATCAGAGGACTAATGAGGCAAGACCGAAGAGACGACACTGTAAGAAAACAAATCTCTTCAGCAGGGGGGAAAAAAAAAGTGCTGTAGGTGTTGTAACTGGAAAGGAACATTAGATAGAGTTTAACATGGAGTTTTTGCAAGTAGGACCTGAGATAAAGAACATTCTAGGTGCAGGGAGAGAACCTGGACAGGAAAATGCAGAGTCGGTCGATGGCTTCATAGGTTAGCCCGCGGTCTGCCCTGTTCCTCTCCCCTGTCTGCGGTGGCTGCCTGAAGCATGTCTCCCCAGCCTACCCGATTCTTGCTCTAATATTCCTGCCCACCTCCCCTGGAAATCCCAAGTGAGTAACCTGACCTCAACTTGGAAGGAGAATAGGAAGCTAGGAAAAGTTTGGTGGCAGGTATCAGGACTGTGGCTACGCACTTCTGAGAGTAGTCTAGCAGCACTGCGTAGGAAGGGATTGGCGTGGGGAGGGTCTGTCATCAAGGCTCAAAACTGTTCCATCCCTGAAACCTCAAGATTGAAGGCCCCACGTCTGCCCTTCATTTGTGATTTGTCAGTAGTTGGACGGAGGATGAGAACTAGAGATGGAAGAGGAAGCAGGTGGGTTCTACAATGGAAACCTGACACTCATTCAGGGGTGCAGTTCTAGAACAGTGCAGTGAAGAGTTGAAAACCAGGGGAATCTGGGTTTTTAGGGAGCCCCCTGAATAGTGTGTCTCATCATCTCTTTCTTGGTCGCGTTCACCAGGCTAGTGGAGAGAGAGACAGCAGTCAACTCCATGGATAGGATTGCATTGGTGCATTTAACAATGCACATTGTGACATTGGGGATGAGAGAATGATTTAGACCATTATGAGCATAATCCGATAGCACACCACTCTAAATGCAGCTTTTAAAACCTCCCAACAAAAGAGGTGTGCCTGGGGGGCTCAGTCAGTTAAGCAAGTGTCTGACTCTTGATTTCGGCTCAGGTCATGATCTCAAGGTTCGTGGGATCAAGCCCTGCATGGGTCTCTGTGCTGACCGTGTGGAGTCTGCTTGGGATTCCCTCCCTTCCTCTCTCTCTCTCTCTCTCTCTGCCCCTACTCCATGTTCTCTCTTTTTCAAAATAAACTTAAAACAAAAAAAAAAAAACTCCAATAAACGAGACTAATAGCTTCATACAATAAGCCAATAGAACTTGCCCTGGAACCATTTTGTATGTAAGTTCTTGAGATTCTGTTCTAATAGATGGCAGAAGAAAAATCAATTAACCACTGCCTCTGGGAGCCAAGAATCTCTTAATTAACTGTACCTAGTCCTGTAGGTGTTGGTGGAAGTGCTGATGAGGGTTAAGGCAACAGAAGAACTGTGAATTGTAGTAGAGTTTTCTTAAATACTAAGACCTTCAAAAATGGCAGCAAAACGAGAGCCCTTAGTTGTTCCCATCCAGTCCTTTCTCATTTGGACAAGGCGGGTTGCCCCAGAGGATAGATGAGCCCTGTCCACAGGTGGTTTCTGTGTCACTGGGAAGGGTTTTTTTCTAGAAAGATGGAATGAAGAGCCAGGGTCCTTGCTTCCCAGAATGAGAATATAGAAGAAAGGAAGTGTTCTCTCTTCCTACTCTCCACCTATGAATCATCAAAAGGAGAGAAATTGGATTATTTGAGAAGTCACTTTCATCTTATTAAATATAGCAAAATGGACTGGATGAGAAAGAATTTTATCCTTTCTGTTGCCTGCAAGAGAAGATTAATTGAACAAACTTGTGGTAAGAAGTTTAGTTTCCCCCGAGGAAAAAATAAGTCATGACAACAGGGTGCTGAGAGACAGGCTGTCTATTGTGCAGTCCATTAGCGCTAAGGAAATAATTGGTTTTTCAGCGATGACTGATGAATAATTTTAACGTGTTTATAAACATGAAGGCTGCATCAACAAAGCGTTTCCTGAAATACTCAGAGTGAAGAAATAAAACAAAACCCTGTGCCTGTTGATTATATCAGCGTTCGGCTACTTCCCCTAACGATTCAATTTCCTTGATTCTTTACAACCATTTCCATTATAGTCCCCAACCGACAGAATCATCACACAAATAAACAAAAGTTATGAAAAATCCTCACAGGATTAAACACCCCTTATTTCTGCAGTATTTTTGGCTAATTTGCATTCACAAAGACAACTGAACTGAGTATGTCTGTCATAAACCTAATCATAGCTAAATATCAGTAATGACCTGCTTAAGCAAGGCCACTTGGGCCCTGGAATGGTTCTGTGAAACATGTGATTGTCCATTTGAGGATCCTTCAGCGGAGAAAGGATGATACTGTGTTTTTAATATTCTTGTTTTTTTTTAAGTACAGTTTTGAACATAATTACTTTTTTAATTTCTTTTATTTGAGAGAGAGTGAGGGAGAGGGGCAGAGAGAGGGAGTGAGAGAATCTCAAGCAGGTTCCATGCTAGGTATGGCTGGTCAGGGCTCAATCCCGTGAACTGTGACATCATGACCTGAGCTGAAATCCAGAGTCGGACGCCCAACTGACTGAGCCACCCAGAGGCCCCTGTTTTTTATACTCTGTTTGCTAGAAGTAATGATTCACTGAATTCCAACCTGGGCTTATTAACTCATGGGTCTGGATGCATTTCATCATTGTACCGCAGTGGTTATTATGTCTAGAGGAAGGAATTTGATAATCCCATTTTAACATACAAAGGGAGATCATGATGGTTCAGCACAAGAGTGTTTGAAAAGAAAAATATATCACTTTATCTTTCACTGTCTTACTTTTTTCTAACCAGGAAAATATTACTCTGTGGAGTAATGAACTAATTCTGTCTCAGAATGTATGTGAATGTTGATTTTCTTCATTTTATAATTTCTGAAATAGTGAAGAAAGTTTGGAATCCAAGTATCACATCTAATCAGACAACAAAATACCCAGAAAATCAGAGTTTCTGGATATCTGACAAACGTTGTGAGAGGAACTTGCAAAATGATGGTAATATTAGACTTGGAGGCTGTGGACCACTGCTTTTCAGTATGAAGAGAATATATATCTGAATCATTGAAAGAATCAGTGATGACCTCTCATTTTACTCGAATGCTGAAAACGTTCAATATGTGCATATTTTCACATCTGTAGATGCAACAAATGGCAGGAAGTTGTCACAGGAATGTAAAAGTCCAAAGTAATCAAGGCTCGGTGGTCAAAACCTTTGCCTAGTTGACCAGTACATCTTGTAAGCAGTGTTACTCTTCACCCGATAAGTATATTTCACAATTGTTATGTGAAAAGACCAGAAACGTTTGAACATATCGATGGTGTCATTTTGACCAAGAAGCCATTTGACTGGCTCCTTGCTGCTGCTCACCCATAGACTGATGGAGTTCACCCTGCATTACTGAGCAGAGACAGGGCACAGAATTGAGAGATGTGGTGGAAAATCATGTCCTCATTGCAAAGGAAGGAAACGTCTGTACAATAGCAAGATGGGTGGCTCAGTCGGTTGAGCGACCAACTCTTGGTTTCAGCTCAGGTCATGATCTCCTGGTTTGTGGGATTGAGCCCTGCACTGGGCTCTGTGCTGACAGTGCAGAGCCTGCTTGGGACTCTGCCTCTCTCCCTCTCTCCTTCTCTCAAAATAAATACACTTAAAGAAAACAATAGCAAAATGGTGGTCACCCTTTTCTAGAAAGCCCCAAAGTTAGCATTACTACTAATGGAACAACTTGACAATGGATGACTCTTGATGTGACGCAATATAAAGTCCACAGCATCATCTGTGATGTGTTCTTGTGGATAATGTGAAACTTGAAAGCCATTTGACATAACTTGAAGTTTCTGGGAATACAAGGATAGAAGGGCATTAAATGAGACTACAAGGAAACAGGCAAAGAGGCCTATGATACTGTGGGCATGCAATGAGAAAACTGGCCTGGCCCCTTCAAAAAATTCATGTCAGGAGAAAACTGTTCAGGGGACTCAACAACGTTAGGAGGGACTGATGGGGCATAATAGCCAAATTAAATCTGTATTTGTTATCTATTGCAGTAAAACAAACTCTACCAAAATGGGGTGGTTGAAAACCACAAACCTGGATCATCCCCTTGTTTGTGTGTGAGGAATCGGGTACAGCTGGCCTTTGGTGAAAAGCCTGTCCTGAGGTCCCAAGCTCCTGACTAGGCTACGGGCTCAGCCAGAGCTAATCATGGAGGGGAGGGACGGTGGGTGGGGTGACAGGACAGGAGGAAGGGTTTCAGAGCTCATCATGGGGGTGTTGGTTGGCCTCTGTTCCCTGCTGTGTGGGCATTTCCATAGGCCTGCCTCACATCATGGCAGCTGGCTTCTCTCAGGGCAGGTGATTCAAAGATGAGACAATGACCAGGACAAAATGCACAGCCTTTTCGTAAGTTAATCTCAATAAGTGACATCCTGCCACTTTTGTATTCCTGTCCCTGAGTGATTCAGTAATTCCCACTCTCGCTTGAGGGGCCCAGGTGGCGGGATTGCATAATGACATGAAGACCAGGGGACAGTGAACTCTGGGGACTGTCTTAGAGGCCACTGACCACAATCTGCTTGAAGCCTGATTCATTCTAGAGGGAAAAAATTCTGTAAAAAGCATTTTAGGGTAAATCGGGAAAGTTTGAAAAAACAATTGTTGCAAAGTAATGAATACGTAAGAGAAAGGGTAATGTTTTTACACTGTCTTAAAAAAAACAGTTTTGAACTTCATTATAAGTAATGGTTATGCGAGAGAATGTAGATACCTTAGAAAACACAGGCTTGAGTCTGTAGGCGCAAAGTATTATGATGTCTTCAATTTATTTGCTAATTATTTACATACATGCATGTAAAAACACGCACTTAACGCATGGACACATACATAAATAGACGGCAAAGTGGATAATGTAATAACAATGATTAAACCTAGGTGGTGCATATGTGGCCGTTCATTATCTTATTGTTTTAGCTTTTCAGTCTATTTGGGATTTTTTCCTAACTACATGGGGGCTACATGTGATGTGTTAGGTCGGCCTTACTTCTGCCTTGTTCCGGCAAGTCCAGGAAAGCAGGTTACACAGAGCTCTGCCAACTTTTCACACTTGTAAGGGCTGTTCCAGGTAGTATAGGGAAAACTCCTAGTGTCAACATGCCCAGCCCTCCCCCTTACTTACATTGCTGCAAGACTTACCCGGTTCCTAAATGCCTGCGTGTACATGGTGACCACTCTAGGAGAGGGTAAACCATTTTCCTGGGAGACCAGGCACCTGGGATGTTCACTGGAGTGGATTGGGTGACATTTATACCCACTACGGTCCTGATTTTCTTTTCTTTTCTTTTTTTTCTATTTCCCTTCAGGATTTTTAAATGTTTGGGGTGTGTGTGTGTGTGTGTGTGTGTGTGTGTGTGTGTGTGTGTGTGTG